ATGGAAAGGAAATGCAAAGGAATCAAGGACAATGTTTAAGCTCAATGGAAAGTCATACATTCATATATTCACCTACAGAAATATATTGTTTCCATTGCTATAATTCTAATTAGAAATTTTAATTGTAATTAAAAAATGTGTGCCAGTATTCATGGAAATATCCCTTGTGCTTGCAACATACCAAAGAATTTTTGCAAGAATGGAATGAACAAGTAGATTCAACCCACTGGAGTCAAGGGAGGAAAAATTGGCACCCTCAGAAGCCCCAGGCTTTGACCGAGAGAACAATTAAACTGACTCCAGGCATAGGAGCAGCATCAAGGGATACCAAAGGATCTAATAACATCACAAACACCATCACAGCTGTTTGAAGCAAGACTACTCCATTTTCAATAAGGAAACAGAAGGTAGCACATCAATTGAGATGAGTGGTCAAATTGCAAAAGAAGAGCCCTCTGGATTTACATGGGGCCACACAAAGGCATCAATCACAGCTAGAAGCTATTTTGCTTCTTTCCACCTAGCAACCAAGAACTCAGCTGCACAAGTCTCCACTTTCTTCAAGTAAGAGCTTGTTTATTTGCCAGCATTTCCAGGAATATACCCTGAAGGCACAAATACTTCTCCCTGGAGGGTAATCATATGAAAATGCCTTTTTAATCAACAAGGACTATGTAAGCATAATGGCACACATGCATCTATGCACACATGTAGCTGTTAGCTGTTTCTAGATGTATGGATTAAAAGAGGAGTGCCTGGATGTATGTTATGCAAAATCCATCAGTGCTGGTTTTCATAGCCAATTTCTTGGCCAAAATCATCCTAAAATACCCAGTGACTTACCAATAACTAATCCCTTTTAGTCAGGATTCAGGCCTGATAAGGGACAGAAATAGCTCTAGTTGCACTTTTAGATGATTTCTGGACTTAGACTAACTTTATTGTCATTTTGAATGTATACTAATAGGCATACATTAAAATGCATGTTGCATACAGCTCTCAAAGGGTATCCACCTCTAATATAAATGTAAACATGACAAGATAAGTAAATAAATAAATACAAAATCATGCATATATCCACATATATTATATGACACGGAGAAACAACACAGTCTAGTTTGGATGTATACATGTACATGGCGAGAGAAACAAATCTTGTGAGTTTACCAGACGGATGGCATAGGGAACAAAGCTATTACAGAATCTGGAAATCCTGCTAGAAATACTTCAAAACATCCTCCCAGAGGGCAGCAACAGAAACAGACCGTGAAGTGGGTGTGTGGGGTCTCTAACAATGCTTTGAGCTCTAAGCACATAGTGCTTATAAACAGTATCCTGAATAATAGAAGCAAGCTTCCTATAATCTTCTTGGCTGTCCTTACCACTCTCTGAATGGATTTTCTATCTGAGGTGCTGCTGCCACCAAACCAAACAGTGATGCGGTTTGTTAAAACACTCTCAATTGTGTCTCTGTAAAAAGTGGACAGGACAGAAGGAGAAAGATGTGCTTTCCTCATCCGACACAGGAAATGCAGGTGCTGGTTTGCACGCTTCGCTAAGGATGAACTGGAGAGACCAGTTCAGATCGTTAGTTATCTACATCCCCAGATACTTAATACTTGGTATCAACTCAGTATCAACTCCTTGATACTGAGTGGAGTATGACCATGACAGCTCTTTCTAAAAACTACAATTATCTCCTTTGTTTTATTAACATTTAGAACATTTAGAAACAGGTTACTTTTATTGCACCAGTTCACCACAGCCTTTCCTATATGCATCTTCATTGTCATCCCAGATAAGACCCACCACTGCCATGTCATCCGCATACTTCACAATATGATTTGTAGCAGATTTGGCACAGCAGTCATGGGTCATCAAGGTGAACTGTAGTGGACTCAAGACACAGCCCTGTGGGAAACCTGTACTCAAGGATATGGAGATGGAGACCTTTATTCCAACTTGCACAAACTCGGGCCTATCAATAAGGAAATCCAGTATCCAATTACATAAAGAAGTATTAAAATCTAATAGGCCCAGTTTGTTCACCAAATGCTGAGGAATGATTGTGGAGGGAGTGGAATGGAGGTTGTGCAACCATCCTTGCTCTGCTTGACCTCTCAGCAGCCTTCAATAACATCCACCATGGTATCTTTTTGGGCTGGCTCTGGGGCGTGAGGTGGGCAGTACTGTATTGTGCTGGATCCAGAATCGATACAATCAGTAGGGATGGGGGAGGGTAAGAGATCTCACTCCTGGTTCCTATTATGTGGGCTGGGATGCCACAGGGTTCGGTGCTTTCTCCTCACTGATTCAACCTCTATCTGAAGCTGCTGGGTGAGCTCATCCACTGCCATGGGCTGAAGTGTTATCAATATGCTAATGATACCAATTATACATCTCTGCCCCTGGTGAATTAAGTGATACTTTGATGTCTTGTTGTGGTGCCTGGAGGCTGTGAGGGTCAGGATGGGGAACAACAGGCTTCAACTGAACCTTTGTTAATTTTTCACAAGTCCCTCAAGACTTGGCTATGTCATCAGGCTTGGGGGCCCCAAGGGAATGGTAAAGTGTTGAGGTGGCTCCATTATTGTTAATATCTGTTGTTCTTTCCTTGCCTTTTAAAAATTGTACAAGTAGCCCTTGACTTATGACTGATCCTCGAAGGAACAACTATTGCACCCTCCCTGTGGTCAAGTGATTACATTTCAAGTACTGAGCAATTGGCTCATATTTACAACTGATTGTAGCATTCCAGGGTTACATTATCACATTTTGTGACTTTTTGTTGTTGTTTTGTGCCCAGTGAATAAGCTGGATTTGGACTTACAATCAGATGTTTCACTTAATGACCACATGATTTATTTGAGAACACTGGTGACTCGTTTACCAACTGTTGTAAAAACAGATGTAAAATCAGGTCCAGTCTCATGACTTATGACCCAACAAATTACAACTAAAATTCAGGGCTCAAATGTGATTGTAAATCAAGGACTACCTGTAATAAGTTTTTTAAACTATTGATTGGTTTTTACATTATTAACCTTTTTTTAGTGAATGTCACCCAGAGTCACACTTTAATATAAAGATGATGAATGAAGCCATTTTAATTGTTAAGAATGACTATTTGATCATTATATATCTCATAATCAGTAATTGTGGTGGTAAATTAGTAAATAGATAATATCATTTCCCCCCTTCTCTATTTCTGAAGCATATTTTTTTCATATCCAAAACATTTCTCTATTCGTATATGCTGTATTTTCTATCTGGTGAAGTTATTTTTTCCTCTCTCATATAAACACATATATGCATACACACAAGTGTAAATAAAGCAGGCACATCAAATATTATATGCCTTCAATCTGTTTTGAAAATGTGCCAAATATCAAGTTTAAGAATGAGATTGTATGATTATTTTGCTTGTTGCTGGAGACACAACTCCATTCACATGCCACTGAATAGCTGTTGTCCAGAACAGAGAGTGTGGAGGCTGAAGAGGCATACCAAACTACCAATGGCCTTTGTTACTCTTTGGGGCACCATTCCAACATTAGTGCCACAAATACCAAGGCTGTGAAAAAATATGATTATGAAAGGCTGGCTGCCATTTCATGCAAGGAATAAAATACAGAAATGAGAAAGATTCTACTGTGGGTAGCAAAACCATGGCTAATGGCACCATGTATGAAGAAGTCTGTCTGTCTACATCACAAACTCTTCTTGTTCATGATCCCAAAGGAGCTAGTTGCAGTTTCCTATTTCTCCTATCCAACATACCATAAAAATACATGTAATTCCTGGGTTACGTGCAGTCCCTTAGCGATCGTTCAAAGTTACGCGATAAGTGCCCCCTAGTGTTTACAAACAAGTCCCAAAACTATGAATGTACCATGCCAGTTGCTTGCCCTTACGAACAACTGGAGATGCTCTGCAACATTCGACCTGCCTATTCCCCTCCCCCACCCCCGCACTGACTCTTCATAGGCACTAGGCCTGTGGATACTCACCTTGCAAAGATCTAGAGATTCTTTGCTTTCTTGGCCTATTTTGGCACTTCAGGCCTTCGGTGAGTACGCAGAGAATGGAGGCTTAAATTACTGCAAGACCATGCGGGATCAATAGCGCGAGTTCTCATGTTATTGATCTCTTGTGATCTCACAATACTTTAGGCCTTTGTTCTCTGCAAACAGAGGGCTGGATGAGATCTGCAAAAAAGGCTTTGCAAATGGTGGGAAGGCCTGAAACATCTAAGCTTTCCCTTTGTTGCAAAGCCTTTTGCCATGTTTGCAAAAAGCCTTTGCAGCCCAAAACAGAGCTCTTCAGCTCCATTTTGGTATGCGCAGGCCTCGTCTGGCACTTTGCAGGCCAAGCTGGAGCTTCGGAGGGACTCCTCCAGAGCTCTGTTTTGGGCTGCAAAGTGCCAGATGAGGCCTGTGCACACCAAAACGGAGCTTCAGAGGGATGGGCCTGCCTCCGCCCCTCCTGAGCTCCGTTTCAGGATGCAAAGTGCCGGATGAGGCCTGCCCACGCCAAAACAGAGCTTCGGAGGGGCACACATATTTGAAGCTGGAGAGGAGACAGCTTGCTAGATCTTTGCACAGTAAGTGACCTGGCACAGCAGTTTGGATGGGGGAGGGAAAGCAATTGTGGGGAGCATGAGGTACTTCAGTGGCTGGGGAGGCCTTGAGTGGTCTTAAACAGCTGGCCTGTTTCATCACTAGGCCCCTCATGGCCTTCCCTACCCTGAAATACCTCATGCACTTAACAAACCGTGCTTTTGATTAGCAAATGTGTGGGCGAAAGGAGGGAGTGATCGTGTTTAAGGTACGAGATTCACTCCCATGAATCCTTGGGTTACGAATGGAATGGGCAGGCTTATTCATAACTGGAGGACTACCTGTACTGCAGATCATACGTCTCACAAAATATGTATCCTAAAAAAAGAAAATGTAGTCTCCTATTTAATTTAAAAAACAAAACAAAACAGATGATCCTACCTGCTGTGTTTGCTGCCGCTGAATGGCTCGCACTTTGGGAACTGGGCTCTCTCGGGAGGAGGAAGACTGCTGCCGGGATTGATTGCCCTCCTGAAGAGGCTCCATTGCCATCGTGGCAGATGCTACAGACATGCTGCCTGTGCTTCGAAGAGAAGCACTGTGGGGAAGTGAGTGGGGTGATCTGACCATTGAGCTGGAACTTGCTTGATCCGCTTTGTGGATTTGGACCTGCACAGTGTAATTCTGATGAGCTGGCAAAGCTCGTTTGTCCAATAGGGTGCCCTGACCAGAAAAATCTTCATTCTGGGTGCTGCGTTTGGCATAATCCTCCATGCTGCTATTGCTGGGTACACTAAGTTTAAGGTCTTCACTATTCTGGCTTCGGGAACTGGTGACACTCAGGTTATCCAGGCTTGATTCCATGGACACTTTAGGAATTGGCTGAGGACAATTGTTGAGATGATAAACTGGATTCTGGAAAAAAAGAGCCTGAAGAATGCCTTGCTGGTTTAATGCCGAATGAAGAGGTCTCCTGACTTGGGGGGCGGTCTGTGGTGTTCTGAGCTGCTTGATATTTGCCACCTGGATGACTGAAATCTGACTGCCAGATAAACGTACCGGGGCCTCGTGCATCATGGATCCAGATTCACACTGTGTGACATTGGGATCCTGGAGATTCATCAGCGATATGCTTCGGACATTGGGCAGATTGGTCTCGTCGCCTTGATCTGAATAAGTCACACTCCGGGATGACGTTTGCTGCATCAAGAGCAATTTGCCTTTGAAATATTCTTCATTTGCTGGAGGGGCTGACTTCAACTTGCGCTCACTGAGAAACAATCAAAACAATCACAATCTTAACATTATATCTGCTTATTTGCATGCACACCCACTTATTTCTGCTTAAACAATTTCTCTGGTTCCATATTAATCTCCATATTTGAGTCATCCAAGTAGAATAGTCTAGGTGGGCAGGGGTGTTATTTATGAATGAGAATGGAACCAAAAGTCATCTCGGATCCCATTCAGAAGCAATGATTGTTGAAAGAGATAAGTTGCTGGTTGCTTTAAGTGAGCAACATTGTTCTGAAAAGGAACATTTGGCTCTACTCTGGCGGCTATCTTAAATAATGCAATGCCTAATCTATACATTTGTTTTAGCATTCTAATCTTAATAATTTTAGCCTGCTTCAGTCTATCCACAAGGCTCCAGGTTGCTGCAGGAGAATCATAGAAACTACATTCTACTGCTCTTATTTTTGTTTTCCATTTCCATTAATGGCTTCACCCATAAGCATAAGTAAAAAGGCCACAATGGGGAGAAATTACTTCTTTCAGATGTGTATGGATAAAAAGTATAAAGGACATAAAAGATAAAACCATAATTATTCAAAAGAAGATCTGTCTGCCCAACACTCCTGCCTTACTCATTCGTGATATAAAACAGATTTCTCAACTTTTTCAGTTTTGTGGACTGGTGGAGGGGATGGGGGGGGTGTCCTGCAGAGTGGCAGGCAAGCGTGTGTGTACACAGCTCCATCTGTGTGAGCAGTGGGCATATGTGCCCACCGCTCACACAAATGGATCGCGCACACATGCTCTCGCCCGCTATTTGCATAAGTGGGGATGTGCATGCACCTGCTTCCAAATGACTCAAGACCCGGAGGTGGGCCACGGCTGGGAGATTGGGGACTCCTGACATAGAGATAAGATAAAACCAAAATTTTTCATAACATGTCCCTTTATTGGTGAACAGGGAGGCCTTATTTGTCATAGCAATAATTATTCGTAACCTGCATTGACAAAAATCTAGAGAAAATGAGGCAGCATCTTTGCTGTGAAATAAGAACTCCAATACAGTAAGCCTAATAGTATGAAGTCCAATCCATGAAAGAAGATATAATCAGCCTACTTTTGTTGTTAAGGTTTACTGTGATGAAGTAGCAAGAATATTCTTATCCACTACCATGTTAAATACTTTTAATAGAAGAAAACAAATTCTTCACTTGTCAGCAAAGCATAATCTCTGCATACAAGTTAACTGCTCCTAGTGCTTCTCTTATTACATTATCAGAACAATATCTGATTAAACAGGGTCAACTGTGACTAAAACTTATTGGCAGGTTGCAGGAACTTGTGGTAGTAGAATTTTGGATTCTTCCTCTTCAGACTAGGTCATAGGTAGCATATTTTGGAATGTTATTCCACTTTACACACAGAGAGACACACATACACTCTCTCTCTTATATTGTTTCTGAGTTTAAAGGATAGGTTGTAGTTCACATTGATACGAGTTCATGTTTATACATAGAAGAACTCATCCTATTATTGCCAGTTAATAAGATCTCAGGTAGCAAATTTGGACAAAGCTTGTGACTTGGAGAAGCACATGTAGAATTAAAAATACTGGGCTGAATAAAGCAATTATCCACAGTTAGGAGGATAAAGCACTATTATAACTAAGCTATTATTTTCAGCAAAGCCCCACTCTTGTAATTATGGCATTACTCTGAATTTTAGTTCTTACTTTTCCCACCAAACTGAACAAAATTATGCATCTCTTTTTCTTCCAAATAATTTCAACAATAGGCAGACAACGCATACCTGTCAGCTGGGTCTTCAAATATTTTTTGCAGCCCAGAAGAGACATTGGGGCTTGAATTATGATCTGGATAACGTCTCAACTGTTGCTGGATTGGCAGAGGGTGGGTTGTATCTTTTGCGATGTCATCGAGAATGCGTGGCAAAGGACCCAATTTTTCTACTGTTGCCTGTAGGAAGGAATTTTCACCCTGATTTGACAATAAGCAATGTGGCATTCATCATTTCAGGTTTTTTTTTTTTAAATTAAACAATGAATGTGGATGGATGAGTTGTAAGAAAAGATGGGCATTTGTATGTGGGTGTGAAAAACCACAATGCATTGTAATGGAGCAGCAGGACCACAGTGATCCGGTGACCCATGGATGGAGGAGATGAAACGGTGCAGCAGACATTGAGGAAAGAAAAGGAAATAGAAATTAAAAATTGAGCCTCCAAAATAAAAAAGTTAATCCTCATAAAACTAATGCATATCTATCCTGCAAAACAAATTGCAATCAAAGCCCAGGGTAGAGGAGACGGGGTGGGATGGAGTAATACGAAAATCACTATTAAATTAAAGTGTAACCCAGAAAACTAAAAAGGGATTTTTGTTGGAAGCAAATGTTTGCCTGTGGGAGGAGAGATTGTGGTCAATTGAATGCATTCTGCTATAGTCTGAGAGCAGCAATTCGGCATGAGCACTGAAAGAAACCATAAGGAAATGCAAAGACTTATACAAAAGTATTTAAATCGTATTTTGTCTTATAACTACTGACAGGAATGAACATTAAGCATATAATTTGTTTATAAACACAATTCTACAAACAGTATTCCTTAACTTCCTGCACTGGATCTCAAGTGATCCCTTCAAAGATGATAGTAACTCCTTGCCTAATCATCAGTGGTGATTCTCAAGAAAGGAAGCAGCACCACATAGGAATGTATGCATGTATGTATGTATGTATGTATGTATACATACATACATACATACATACATATGGTTGACTCTTGGCAACTGCCTGGACTACCTCCTGCAATTTTCTTAGCAAGATTTCAGAAATGGTTTGCCACTGCCTCCTTCCTAGGATTGAGAGAATGTGTTTGGCCCAAGGTCATCTAGTTGGGTTTGTGTGTCTAAGGCAGGACTAGATTAGACTAGACTAGGACTCACCATCTCCCAGTTTCTAGCCTGGTGCCTTAACCACTACATCAAACTGGCTCCCTCCAAACTATTAGAATATGGCTTTTATTTTAGGAGAAGATAATGAATCAAACATAATTTTCTTTAAAACAAAATTGTTCTAAAGCAATTTAAAATGATGAATATGATGGGAGAAATGAGTTCATTTGCTTTAGAATTTAGTGCAATTTAACCTAAGCCCAAAGTGATTGAAGTTCAGCACCAATTAAATGTCACCCCTGTCTTTCTACTGGTTCCCAATGCTTAGTCTACATTCTTTTAAGAAATAGATGATGTTATAACCCTGTACTTTTTTTAAAATTAAAGTTAACTTTAATCATTACCCAGGAAGCAGCTTGTGGGCACTCCTTGGACAAAGTTGTCTCCAGCCATCCCTTCCCAGCCTTCAAACTAATTTACCTTGTCCACCTCCCAGACAACTTCCCACAGCAAAGAATGCAAGACAGCAAACTCCTTTCCCAGATCTATGTATCCTCCAAATCCTGGCTTATTAGAAATGGTGTCCTCGTTAGAAATTTCTGCCAAGAAGCATTTCATATGTGTCCATTCATGCTCTAGAAAGGCATTCATAAAGGTAATATATTCTTCTTTATTCCCAAATCTGAGTTGGGGAGAGAGGAAAACAAGGAGAGAGGAGAAAAATGGTCAGCAGTTTGGCAGGAAGTTTCCAAGGGAAACAGCATGGTCTTACAATGTTGCTTAAGATATTCCAAGACACAAAACAATATTTCTGTGACTGAATGGCAATTTCTACATGTAACATTTAGTTAAATAATGTTGCAAGTAGTCATTATAGAGACACAAAGTTAGTGTGAGAGAGCAGTCATTGTGCTTGCCAGGTACTCTCCTTCCTCTCACCCACTCCCCACTATCATTAGAGGTTTTCTTGGCTTCACAAAATTTATTTGTCAAGAATTAGGAGAAAAAAGGAGAAGCTGCACCTGAGTCCACCTGTTAATAATAATAATAATAGCATTATCTTAATTATCTTCTTTGGCCCCAATCTGTAATAGTGGCAAATGAAGTCCAAATTACACATAAAGTCTAATTTAAGTATTGAAATTAGAAACTTGATCAGCTAGAGGCAGTAAAGACCATAGACAATAGCAAGGACAAAGGAAGGAATTTAGTACACTGTATCATCTTTTACTGCTGCCCTGTGGGAAATATTTTTTTATAAACCTTTGGAGTAAAACAATCTTCCCTTAGTACCCATGGGGGCAGTGTTAGTTGCATCCAGATGGAGGGTCACACTGCAGTTATTTTTCCAATATCATTAACACACAATACCAAATAAAAACACATGCGGTCTGCTTCTAATTGGAGAAAGTGATGTAGTAGGATTGTGAATACCACTAGTGAAAGCTAACCAGTATCTGGGGCTAAGGACAGGCTGCTTCCTCTTCTGTAAACACTGGCCTAGAATGCAACTCATCCTGCTCCACTAACCTACATCCTACTATTCAAGTGGGGACTTCTGTTTATAATGTTTTTATAGCTTTTTGATTTGAAACAGAGAAATGTAAATTTCAAATGTACATTTTTGAACATGGAATTTCAGCACATATAGGTGACTCCATATACTATGAACAGAGATAAGGCAAAGCAGCTGTATGTTACAGCTGTTGCCAAATCATTCCTATGAAATAACACATGTCACAATGATAAAATAACAGCAAATCCCTTAATGATCATTACAAATAATGAAATATCACTTGCCTTGTGAAATTTGCTAAGTTTTGGATAACCTTTGCAATTAGTGTGAGTGCACGAGAGGTACTATCATCTGGGTATTCCTGCATGAGATTGAAGAGACTTGGAGACATGATGGCTGGGCAAAGGAATCGGAGGAAAAGCGAGGCACTGATCAGGCGTTCGCTGATATCCTGCTTTCCCCGTTTGAGGCACTGCTGCTTCCATGATGCAAATACCTCCTTCAGCTCCCGAGGAAAGACACTGAAAAGATAACAACATTTGGCAAATTCCCATTGGGATAAACGTGAAGTTGTTTCTCTTGCTATGAAAGTCCAGTATTTTATTTATCAATACACTGATAAGGGTATTTCTTGTCTTCACTTGGGAAAAAAAACTATCTAGGGTAGAATTATCAATAAATACTAATAACCACTTTCATAAGCTTGGGAACTAATGCTTCCAGTGTTACAAATTTCATTCCTAGTAAGTTGATATAATATGGATGGGACTGAGTGATCAGGCAAGATCCAACTCCAATTCATCAGTATTGTCACAGTCTAAAGGCAAATGTTTCATAGCTGTAGCCTAGTTTTGGCTTCGCAAACTCTTTATTATTTCTACAGGAGAATGAGAAGCATTAAATACTTCTAGATACATCTACCAATTTGCCTTAGATTCTGTATTTTATTCTAGAAGGAGTCAGCGCAAGTAAAATATGTACAGATCTATGTTTCTTTGTATATATAAAATCAATTGCATAGATTCAGTTTATCTTAAGTATACAGCATTGTGTAAAAATGACGTAAGAAACACATGCCACTCCTTGTCTAATTCCTATTAAATGGGTTTGAAGAAGCACAGCTACTGGCTGACTTTGTCTATGGAATCCTTCACTTTTCACAATTAAAATATTGCATTCCTAGTGAAAGGGAAGATCGAAGGTAGCATCATGAATTTTAACTGCCTCCAGATAGACAATGTGGTGTCTGGGGATACCTCCCTTGATGCCTTTGAGACTCATTGAACCACCTGAATTTCATTTTTCTAAATCTCTCTTCATATTTAAAACATTCCAAAATTGAATTGGTTTTTCTAGCATTTGCTTTGGCAAGTAATTCCTGTAAATGACAAGAAATAATCCTTCATCCACTCACCAGTAGGTATTGACAATTTTGCAGAAGGCTAGCTCACAACACATTTTGAGATTTGCCTGGTGATCAGCTAATTCATTAGGTGGACTTTTGCTGGGATCCACTTCACAGTTCTCATCTGACTCATATAACGCCTTAATAAATTCACCTAACAATCAGATAATAAGAACAAGGCAGAAGAAAAACATAAAGAATTGATAATAAATTTGTTGACCGCAGCAAGGCTAATGATTTCTAGGAACTGGAAGATACAAGGTGTTTATAATTTGGAAGAATGGTATAAGGAGGTATGGGATATTGCCATAAATGATAAATTGACTTGCAATATTAAAGTAAGGAGGGGCATAATGAAGGTAAACGATTTCAATGGAATCTGGAAACAGTTCCTAATATATGTGTTTTCTGGAGGAAGAGGGATACCACCACTAGAAGAAGCTTTAAGATTCTGGAAGCAGGAATGATCCCGAGGGGTGGGGGAGCACTTGTTGATTGTTTGTATTCTGTATATTGTTATATATTATATATTATGATTCATGTATGTTATGTATGTTAATTTCTTTTTTTTTATATGTTAATAATAAAAATATGGAAAAAAAACATATTAAAAAGGTTTTTAGATAATCTTGTTAGAACAAACAATTATATTGCCTACTACCCTCCACAACAAATTCTCCTAAGTGTGTCAGGACATTAATATTCCATAAGTCTTCACAAACATTTTTCTTCCCTTCTCTGATTTGAAGTGAAGTCAAATAACTCTACCTGAATGTAGGACAGCACACCTGTCCCTAATATTGACAATATTCAAATAACAGGGGATGGCTCTGCTGCTAGAAGATAATAGGTAATAGCAGAAGACAGAGGTCCTCATCTCCGATTTTGCTTCAGTCTTCTACCTATGTGGGAGAGCTGATAAAGGAGGGAATGGCCTCTTAAGGCATGTAAAGAAATGGTTAGGGAATACCTAGCTAAAAAAATTATGGATATCAATTTGGAGCCTTTCTTTAATTTTTGGAAAATCCTGGAGTACAAGTATCATATCAGAGGACTGGAGAGGTGCAAACATTATTTATAATTACAAATAAACCTTCCTAGAAAAAAAAGTAAAAGCTCTTTCTCCAACAGATTGTCTCATCTCTTTCACATATTATTTTCCCACTCTTTTTAAAATCTAAGTTTCTATTATAGGCTGACAAAATATGAGAGGAAAATGGAAATTAAAAAAAAAATCAAAACAAAAGACTATATTCAGCAGTGTGGAATTTTACCTGAACCATTCTAATATAAAATTCCAATTCTTTTAGAAAATGAAATGGTGAACCATTGTTTACCAGTAGCAACTGAAGCTATTGGCTCTATTATTTTAATGTTCAACTTGTGAGTTCTTAGGAACTTTCAAATCAAAGGTAACTTATGGCCATGAATAATCATAAATTTCTTGCGGCTGTCTATTAGCTGGACCTTCTCCAGCTTTCTAGCTATGTATTAGCTTTATTTCTTTTAATAACTTAATGTATATCAGAATGGGAAGGGAGCACAGTGGCTCACATGGTTCGGGCGCTGGATTGCGTTCTTTGTAACCCGAGTGCTGCTGTATGGTGAGCTCCTGTCATTTGCTCCAGCTCCTGCCCACCTACCAGTTCAAAAGTGTGCAAACACAAGTAGATAAAAGATACTACTTCAATGGGCTCATTAATGGGGACATGAAAGGAGCCCCCAACTGGGCATTCCTGGGGCGACCATGATGTCACTTTCACCACAAAAGTATAGTATTAGAATAAGAAACTAGGCATCTTGGAAAGAAGCACAGAAATCTTCAGAATGGGGTCAGTTACTTAATATACCCAATATACCACTTTTAAGGGAATTGGGATTTATTAAAGTTTCTTTTGCAGGTACCAAGAATGGAAAGAAAATGTGACATCCCTGGGGCGTCATCTCTCAAAGCGACTTCCAAGAAGAGTTAACTAATTCTTGAAACACAAGAATACAGTACTATGCAGTTCTGAGATGTCAAAAGCATTTCATTGCCAGCAGCTTAGAAGAGCATTCTGAGCACATCAAATAGAACAACTGCACCCTTATGGGTGGTCTGTGTCCTCCTCAACCTTTGGCCTGGGTCTTTGAGGGTTCTGTGTAGGTTCTCAGCTGTTCCTAGCACTGCATGATTCTGGACAGGGAGCTCGGATGTTGCTCCTGGGATCTTTTGGAGCCACTCTCCCAATTTAATATTCTACTATTATGTAAACCCTCCTTGGGTAATTTTAATAAGCTACAGTTCTCCAAAAGTGAGCACTGGTGCAATATGAGGTTCAGGAAAGTGGATGTATTTGACCACAATTTTGGACAAAATGGAGAATTGTTTATTTAGAAGTGCTATGGGATATCAGGATATAGAAGTTACGGATGAGCATTAAGCAGGAGAGCACTAGGAATCAAATTAAGAGAAGGGCAAGGAAAGCATATGATGCTTACATTGATTACCATTAATCTATTCTCTATAGACTTCACCCAAGTTATTTCCCATGAGTTTGGGTTAAAGTGATTCATTATAGTTTTTAACAGTACTAAAAAGGAATAATAAAGGGGCTTGGAATTAAAATGGTAGAACAGGAAGACAAATTAGGAATAGAACACAGATTAAGGTATTCTTATAAACATTGAAAGCCACATATATTGCATGACTGAGTAATGTGAATAATGAAAACTTTCTGCTTCTTAAAGGAATTTAACATTCGCAAGATTGTTAGAATCTAAAACAGATACTGTATTTCACTCCACGTCCAAATATTTGGATTGGGCTACTTCAACTAATTTTTCTGACCCAATGATGATTCAGCAACTTGGACTACCTCTTCTCTCTTAATGGCTTCACAATAAACTTTTAAAATAAGAAATAATATATATAATCATACAGAAATGTTTCTATACCTAGTGCATCTTGCAGATACTTCTGTCCCACCAATTTGAGATATTCCTCAATGGATTTGGTGGCAAGTGTATTTTCTCTGAAGATCAACTCATCATGGTCCCCACAGCGATCCACTTCAGACATCACCAGATCAGTCAAGAAGTCCTGAAAGGAAAAAAGGTTAGAAAAAAAGATGATATATATAATGGTAGGGATACTCTATGGACAGAGGTTGGATAGAATATGCCAGATGGACTCAGCAAAAAAGTGAAAATGCTGAAAAGAGTGACAGTACCTCCTATTAGGGAAACCAAGGTATTTAGAGATTGTTAGATATATTCAATTGAACTATTTGCCTCAAATATTCTTTTTTGATAAGCGAGATGCAGATATAGTTCACTTAAGGCCTCATACAAAAGTCTACTCACTCCAGCTGAGCCACTTCCTATTTGTGAAGAAGATATCCTTCAATGAAGCCTCCAACTTGGGGCAGCCTGCTGCTGAGGCAGGCTATCGCCACATCAAAAAAATCCAACAGAAAAACAGTGCTTTCTGGTGAAAAACAGAATAAGCCTAGCAAATATTCTAGAAAGAACCTGAAGGAGGTTGGTGGCCTGCAGGGCTCCAATTAGCCTGCTGTAGGATTTTCTCCTCCCATCCAGCTACAAGGCTCTATGCCTCTATGCAGGCATTTCTGCTTTGATTGCTAGATGGGATACAGCCTTGGCCAATAACCATGACAGATTAAGATCTAACCCAGGGGTCGGCAACCTTAAACACTCAAAGAGCCACAAAGATTCTAACAGGAAGCCCCCATTCAATTCTGGAGCCGACTGGAAGTCTGGTTCCCCCATCATAGTCTCCTCCTAGTGCGGCATCCTTTTTCCTCTATTTGTCCTAACTGAAAGCCCTATCAATTGTGGAGCCGACCAGCAATAGGGAGCCGCAGCAGAGGGATGAAAGAACCACATGCGGCTCCAGAGCCGCGGATTGTTGACCCCTGATCTAACTGAACACCTCTTCTTAGTCCTACTTTGGAATGCCTTCTGAGAAGAAGGGTATTCCATGTATAAGTCACATAGCAGACAATATGCTACAGGATAGAATCTGATTGTGGAACCTGATGGGCTTTGCTTCCTATCAGCTGCAATGTATGCAATAATTAAGGCCCTGCAGAGGAAAGGTCATGAGACAAATTTCATTAGAGAACAGAAAAAAATTTACTTTTTTATTAATGAGAACATACCAACAACAACAAACTTAAAAGAATTTAAAATAAGGAGATAATGTATAAAATAGCAATTAGCAAACATAGCAATTAGAGCACAGTGGGGTAGAGGGGTGGGAGTGGTTGAAGAAGATGTTACATTCTCTCTGCGGTGGTTATTCCTTTCTACTTTGGGATTGGTATTTTTCATATGTGAATTCATTATGTGTGTGTGTTTAAGGGAGACAACTGCAAGAGTCCCCCTGTTATATCTGCATGGAGAAATAACTTTAAAAAACACCCTTGTGTTACAACAGAGGATCTGCACATACTTTTTTCATCTTTGTAAACTCAGAGTGACTCACATTGGTGCCTCCTGAGTTTGCTATCTGTGTTTTGTGCCTGCTTTGCTCTTTAACAAATTTGTTGACAACAACCTCCATAGGAATTATGAGTAATTAGCAAAGACAGTCTACATCAAGCCTTTTCTGTTCTGGAAAAGTAGCCTCCAGGACTGGATATTGAATAACAAAATAATCGCTGAATTGTCCACTTGAACTTGATCAACTGACAGCCAGTTTTCTGTTTGTCCCTGGAAGAAACAGCAACCTTGTATTCCAAGAGGTTCCTTATTCCTACCCACACTTCTCACGCCTCCCCTATGGCATTCCAGAATTTGCCATGACAGTGTACAGAGGTTATAAGATATAATTTTGTGGAGATTGTGGACATAGAGAAAGCTGGCAAAAAGGGTGCCTTAGAGAGCAAAAGGAGAACACGGAATGCTTGAGGAAGTGGGGAGAATGCAAGACAGAACTCCCTTCCTTAGTCCTCACTCCCACTATAGCAGCAGCAGGACTCAGTAGTGTCAGCAGTTTCTCAAGATTTGAGAGTTGGGTGGCTATATAAAGGTTTTAAATCAATAAATAAAATTACTAAGAGTCATCTTGAAGATGGAGGGAAGGTACATTGTGGGGGTATGGGAAACAGCCCTTTGTCTAAAATAATCTTTATACACTGATCTTAATAGTTTTCTCTTTTAAAGTAAAAGTTAGTTTACTTTTCAAGTGTGTTGTCTAATTTTCAGCTTTCTCCAAGTGGAATCCCTGAAGCTTAAGGTACAATGATACAAAGGCAAATATGTAAGCCTGGAATATAGAACTTGTATATAGGCAGAGAACATTAAGCATTAATTCAAGAAACACATTTTCCACTATTTTTTTCTTCTCATTTATTTCTCTTTTGTTTCTTGGGCTAAAAATGGCCATATTGAGATAGTGTAGCATAACTGAATTATCTACACTTGAGATAGTTTAGCATTATAGAATATTGGTTTTACACCAGGGAAATTAAAACTAAAATCTCCCTTAGCTTCACCATAAACATTGGGGCATCTTTCTGTCAAATTATCCTTTCTCCCAAAGCTGTTGGGAGAATAAACATTCTGCCACAGGCTCCCTGGAAGAAGAAGTATATCTATTCCACCGCAAACTCTCTGGAAGAAGAAACAAATCTTTTTTTTAGGAATCAAAAGACAGTGGTATAAAAAGACAAACATGGTTTCACATTGTAAATAGTAAAATGTAATAAAATGTTACTCTGTATATTCTGCTCTTTGAGGATTATTTTAAGAACTATGTCCTGCTTAAGACTGTCTTTCAGAGGTTTGCCCATAGAACTCAAACCTGAGAGTAAATTTGAAACAATGGGCTCTATTATACCCTCCAGAAAAGGAATATACTCTCATTTCCAAATAATGTGCAGCATCTCTAAGGAAGTAAAAGACACATGCATAATCTAAATTCATAACTGGTCCAAAAAGAGGCTGTGGCACCAGGGAAAAAAAGGACGTTGAGGGGAGGTGCTGGAATCTGAAGAGCTCTGCGTCTCACTGCAAATGGTTAAAAATTATTTCTGCTCGACCCACAATTCAAAATAGGCACTGAATCAAAATAAATACTAATCTTTTACCAGGAGTCTTTTCTCCAAGCTTGCTAATCTATGAACTATAAATTAATCTATAAGATACTGAAAAGACAATTAGAAAAAAGGATAGAAATACAGGTAGCCCTTGACTGATGGCCATAATTGAGCCTGTCATTATGGTCATCAGTTGTTACAGTCATAAGTTGAGGCACCATTGACTGAACCAGAAAAAGTGTTATTAAGTGAACACCTTGGTAATTAAGGAACTCAATTTTCTCTAATAGATTATTTTTTGCCCAAAACTGGAAGTAAACAACTGGCAAAAAAAATCACAGTCATGTGACCATGGGATGCTGCAAATGGCCATAAAGGTGAGCTGGTTGCCAAATGCCCAAATGTGATAATGTGATCACAAGGGAGGTGGTGGTGAGACCATTGTAACTTTGAAAAACGGTCATAAGTAGTTTTTGGATTGTCTGTTGGTTACACCAACAAAATAAGCAGTAGTTCTGCATATTCTTACCTTTGCTTTGCCAGTGCTCTGAAGAATGTGCACCATAGCACAGGCCATCTCCTCTTTGTTTCTGACACTTATGACTGGTTCCAAAACAGAGCATAATTCAGTATAATTGTTGGTTACAAATTCAGCAAACTCTTTATATTTTTCCATAGGAAGGACGATGATGGTCTGGTACCGTGACTTGATCCGGATGGATGGCACACCAGACTTTCCCTTATTGACTGTGGGAGTGCTGATGGTGTACCACTTTTCCACAAACTGTCGACCGGTGACAGTAGCTATGGGAATGCTGACCAGACCAATATAATTATTCTTATAGTTTTTCTTTTTCTTTTCAGTGTCCTTGTAGATGTGGACTGTAATGTGATAGGTGGGAGGAAGGCCAGAAAACTCAAACTGTTCACCCCAGAAAATATTGTCAGCTTTTGATTTACTGGTAGTTCGGGCGACTAATATTTCATCCAGGCATATTTCACAGAAATACTTCTTCTTGGGGGCCAAACCTTTGGCTTCAATGATCCAAAGACGTAACACATTCTCATCTCGACGGCAATTATCCTGGAAACAAGAACGGTTAGTTTACTTATTACAAAGAATGTTTATTCTATGTGGTTCTTATCTTTCATAGCTACGATTATATTTTAAAATCTTTACTTTCTATTTATCTTCTTTTTAATATGGCTTATGAGATAATAAATCATTTCTGAATTCTTCTTAAGGAAAGCTCCAAATTCAACACATCACTGCATATCTGATCATGAATAGATTCCTGGCCTCTTGAAAAAAACATAGCTGAGTCCAATAGAGCAGGGGTCTCCAACCTTGGCAACTTTAAGCCTGGCGGACTTCAACTCCCAGAATTCCACAGCCAGCAAAGAGGATGACAGTCAACCGAATGATTAAAACAACACTAAACCAGGAGTACAGATATGCTGTGAACCTTCTTCTCAAGATGGAACACAATTCCATACTCAGAATTATATACCCACAATCTTAATATCACCAGCAACTATGGTTTAGCTGGATTACGTTTATTTTTTCAGGCAGTAATTACTCATAAAGGATTATGCTGCTACTGATAAAGAAGAAAAGAAAATAATATAATTGAGAATTTAGAAAATTCAGTTGGGTGGGTGGAGAATATCTTGGAGTCTGGTTGAGATATTGGGAAGACATCACCTCTTCTTGGCAACTGGGTGCCTCTTCCAAAATGACCTCACCTAGCACCATGTATATTAGGAGGATAATCTTCCAGTTTTTTTAAAAAAAAAACCCTAAATTGCTTAATGGTCAGAAATGACAGGATGGTAATTAAATCATTTGGAGAGCTAATGGTTGTTTGACAAATACTTCAGGCAAAATAGAGCCATCCTGGCTGAGACAAATGAGTACAAAGTAGTACTCCCCCCTCCAATTTATAAAGAAACAAGTTCTGAAGCATATTATAACTATTCACATTGATAAATACTAGGAAATTCCAGAGAGTTAAACAAGGTCACCACTCCTCTGTGTCTCTTATATTGTAAATCATGTACAAGAGTAATGAAAGCTCCCAAGTCCATTTGGAAGAAAGTAGATGGTCATGTTTGGCATTAATATATTAAATATTGAAATTGGCAACGTTGGCCAAAAATTACGAACAGTTTCATAATGTGATAGATTCTAAATTTGCACTGACACCCCCACATTGATCAGCATTGATCCCACTTCTCAATCATTTCCCCAAAGTATTTTGAATAATAAAATTAGTGACTAACAATGTGACATATTTACAGGTAAAAGATGTAATCTATCATACGTTTTGATCAACAAAGTCTAAATGGGCTTTATTAAGCAATTTTCTTTCTGAGGCAGCTAATTTGATGCCACAAATCTACTTAGAAGGATATACTTGTTTGGGGAAGCCACTTGATATCCCCAGATATTAATCAGGATGAGGTTTCTGAGGTTGCATTTTACACTATACCTTGTTAGGCTGGAGAGCCCTCCGTATGTTCTCCATCCAGATGTCTCTTTCAGCAGCAGAAGTGCAACTAAAGCATTTACTACAAGTGGAACAAGATATCTAGAACATATTACAGAAAATCAAGTTAAGCTTACAGCTGAGATTGTAATTGCATGAAAGGAAACAGCAGAGATACCTTAATACTTTATAACATAGTAGCTTAACGAGGAAATTTAACCAGAATACCAATACATTTATTATGTTAACACACTGGAGTATTACAAAGCTCCAAGTGTCAGAAACATTATGATCTGGTTTGAAGTCTATTAATTCTGGCTGAAATGTTCACCAAATCCTCCCAATTTTGGACAGTTTTCAAAATGGAAATTTAGCCTATAAGGATGATTAAATTAATAAATTTACCTATACAATAATAAACAGTATTGAGGGACATTTTAAATAACTGATTTTTATAGTTTATAGTAATAGTAAACAGACAGAGATAGAGATAGTAATGTTAGTCATAAACCAAAAGTTTCTAAGCAATAGTTTTATCATTATTGCAAAATCATTCTTCATTTTTATTTTCCAATTTGAAGCTATATCTAACAAGGCTGTAAAGTGCTTTAGATTTAAAGAGGAAAAAAGTACTTTGAATCCACATGAGCCCTCATGTAACAATGACTTCTTAAATCAATTACTATGTGTCCCTCCAGGGATTCTACAGATATAACAGGAAGGATAATTGAAGAATTACCGAAAGAGGGTATGCACATGCCCACATGTGCTCTAAAGCACTTTTTGTCTTTTGAATCCAAAGTGGTGCACAGCCTATAAACAGTTACATTTGCTTATAAAAGGGATGTGTGCTATATAGAAAAAGGACATTTGATACTAAAGGAGATGGAAAACAATGAAAATAAGAGAACAAGTTTGAAAAGAAAATCTACATAACATAGGATTGCATCAAATATTATGCTAAATATTTTGCATTAATTGACATGCCCCTTAATAAGGTTTAGATCTAGGTTATTCCTTAGCAGTACTGTGAACTGGTTACTATGGAATTTGAAACATCACACTGGGAACTGCTAAAATATGACTGTTTAAATTATTAATTAATTATATTTAAATGCTGTTTTGTTCTTTTTGAGAGAGCCACTTCCCATGAAAGATAAATCTAGGTTTGTCACTTAACTCATTGAATTTAAACTAGAAAAACGGAAGTTTTTATTTTTTTTTCAAAGTTTATTTCCATTTTTAAAAACAATGCTTTACATATATATACATACAAAATTATTGCAACTAACATATACAAATATGCGCCTATACCACTAATGAAATCCGTTTCATTTCCCTCCCTTTCCTTTCACCCAAATATACCATAAATTCCAACATTCATAATAATCAGAATCTTTTTGGTTCCTAAGTAATTTCTTTAACCGATCTGCCTCTGCGCATTCTGTAATTTTCCAAATCAATTTATTCTCTGTGGGTATTAATTCATTTTTCCATTCTTGCGCGTATAATATCCTAGCTGCGGTAATAATGTGGAGGATCAAGTACCATTTTTCCTTAGATATTTTATCTGGTTTCATTCCCAATAAAAAAGTCTCTGGTTTCAGCTTTATATTATATCCTGTAATTTCCACTATCCAATTCCGAATCTTGGACCAATATTTGCCTGCTTTGGGACACATCCACCATTGGTGATAGTATGTCCCGCTACCATTCCTGCACTTCCAACATGCCGGGGAGGCTCCCGGAAACATTCTTGCTATTCTTGCCGGGGGGATATGCCAACAATAGACCATTTTATAAATGTTTTCCTTGTAGTGGGTTGACAAAATAAGTTTCATATTCCTATTCCATATCGCATCCCATTTATCCAGATTTGGGGAAAATCCGAGATTCCTCCCCCAGGCAATCATGGTGTCCTTAATCACCTCCTCACCAATCCATCGTGATACCAAGAACTGGTAGCACCTTGAAAGTAATTTCTTTTCAATTCCCAATAAGATTTTATCTAGCTTCTGTAGTGACCTATAAATTCCCTCCTTTCCTTTATCCCTTCTGACTCTCGATTGTATTTGGGCATATGCCCACCAATCTACACAATGATTCCAATTTGGTTCGCCCCATTAGAGGTGATAACACACTCAACACTATATAACAAGGAAACATCTTGGACTTATCAGGACTTGCTTGACCCTCAAGGGGACTTGAAGACCCGTGAAGAGCTTATGAATCAGGGCAAGAAGGTAGAAAAACAGAAGTTTTTACAGTATTGTACTGAATGAAATATCAATTAAAAATATACTGTAATTTTTCTTGCTTCCCCAAAAGGAACACATTTGCTAGGCAATTTCCATGACAATCAGGAAAAAATCTTTGATTTTCCATCAATGTGTACAGGTAGTCCTCGACTTATTCAAAGTTACAACAGCAATGAAAAAAGTGACTTTGGACCATTTTTCACAGCTCTGACGTTGCAGCATTCCCATGATCATGGGATAAAATTTCAGATGCTTGGCAACTGGTTCATCTTTATGACCGTTGCAGTGTCCCTGGGTCATGTGATCACCTTTTGCAACCTACTGACAAGCAAAGTCAATGGGGAAGCCAGATTCACTTAACAACCAGCTTACTAACTTATCAACTGCAGTGATTCACTTAAGAACTGTGTCACGAAAAGTCGTAAAATGGGGCAAAACTCAAATTTTGGGGTCAATTGTGGTCGTAAGTTATGGACTACCTGTATGTGTGCACATGTATGTAGTTTCCATATTAAATCAATTACACTGGGATTTAGCTCAATATATATTTCAATATGTCCCAAATTCAGTTCAGTAATCTAAATGGAAAAGTTATTATTTCAATTTTCCCATTAAGAATACCAAAGGAGGAAAAAACCTTTTGAAAAAATGTATTAAGGAAATTAGTTGAAAAGCTCTTGAATATATTAAACCAAAGCCAATTATTCCCAATTTGTGGTCCAGAAAAACTGCAATTTTGAAAGATACTGGAAGCAGTCATTGATGCATACATCAAAATAATTATTTCTCCCCACTTTTTTTTAATGGCAAATATCTTAGGGAATCATTGAATCACCCAAGTACCCTCTTTCTACTTAAAATGTTTCAATATTTCAGTTGGAAACAAAGTTGCTCAAGACCAGATGATCTCCTAAAATATTGGCCATTTATTCTTAATTATTGAGTTTTTGAATCTGGGATGGTGCTGTTGCAGCATAAAAGGCATTAAGGAAAGGAAACAAGCATCTGGGCACAGGACAAAAATATTAAGTTGTGCTTCAGCTGCCTCCAATAATTTTGAGGGAAGAAAAAGGAACAGTGAATGCACAAGATTAGCTCATCTGTTGTATGTTGCAAATGCTGTTGGACAAACACTTGTTAAATTTTGCAAGCATGCACCAGTAAAGACTGCAAAAAGCAATCATAAATCAAGGGAAGCTAACTAGATGACCCCTAATCATCACTGATATAATCAAAACATGCAAATTAATTCCTTATCTGATGCTGCATTACTAATATGGTCCTTAGAGATAAAAATGATGCCCAATTGTGGCACAACTTTCCATCAATTTACAATGGCCCAATAAGAAATTTCCTAGTTCCTTGTTGTTTCTCTTAGTCATTTACTGCCATGTTTTCTTAAGACTGAAAAGAGTGATCATTTCTGTTCAATAACTGATATCAGTTATCTCATGTACATGAAGATCATCTGATCATCAGATAATCCACAACCTTCTCATGTTAAATCTAAAGAAATAAAATTTGTTACTGTTACAAAATTGAAAGAATAAAAAGATCAAGACGATCAAACACCATATATCAGTCTTCCACTATAGTTTTCTTTCTTGGAATAAAATGAATACCTTTGTTGTGTATTTACCTCAAAGCAGAAGTCTCGTCCAATTATACTGCTATGAAGTGGCATGACAAAGACTTTGTCATCAGTCCCAAGATCCAAAGTCTCAATAGGACCTCCTGGACTTAGCAAAGATTCATGGGAAAAAGATTGTTTCAGCTTTGACAAGCCAGGGGACCTGTATAAAGACAGTAGAAGATGGAAATAAGACACCAAGAAAAAAAGGTGGTGATTTAATAAAATTTAAATTTAAAAGCATTTTTAAAGATTTGCCTCATTCCAAATATTGGTTGGGAATCCCTAACAAATGCCTGTCAAGATTTAGCAAACTCAGAAACATAAAACAATTTTACTTTTAGAATTTTGCATTCTGAATTATTGGTGAATGGTTCAAATGTTTTTCTATGTTTCATTAGAATCCAAAATCCTACTAGTAACCTCCAAAGGCTGTATATTTTTTATTCACTACAAATGAAAATGTTACATTTATAGAGCTGTACAGTTTCTCTTCCTTCCCCTCCCTATCAGGTAGATTCGTCTAAAAATAATGCAAAGAGTCCTCTGAAAATTTAAAAAAAAAAGGTTTCTGAGTGTGTTGTTTGTATCAATCTTGCTTATTTTTTGAAGGAGCTTAGAGTAACAGACATATTTTTTTGTATTTCATGTTAGAAACAATCCCCCAAAGCAGGATTGGCAGAAAGAGAATGGGGTCAAAGTAATGCAATAAGTCAGTCAACGATCTGAACCAGCTTCCAAGCACATTATCCTCTACGCTCACTATTAATATTCCCTTTTCCAAAAATACAAATGGGATACAAACAATGACAGATCTATTACTCTTATACTAAAATGTACCACAATCTATGAGGGTGGGGAGGGGTTTTTGTTTTAGAAATAGCACAGGAAGATAGATAATCTTACTAATCATATTCAGGCATTATATTAATTTGGCATGCTCTACTTGGGTGCATTCCTAATCAGCCATCTTCCTACTGAAGGGATTTCAATGACACTGGTTTCCAGGAGACAAGCTAAGAGAAAAATCTTTTCACAGCACTTGAGTTTGAACTGCATCTAAGAGGCCATCATAAAAAAAAACCCTGCAAGTTGGGATGACACAAAAACAAAAGGACCTTACTTCCTTCTTCTCATGTCACATTAAGAATTTAGGAGAGCCAGTGGCAAACCAGTTTCAAAATATTGCCAAGGAAACTGCAAGGATTTGCCCATGTGGTTGCCACGAATCTATGTGGACTCGAAAGCACCACTGCCACCACAACAGACACAAGTTTTGGGATTGCTAGGAGCCATATCCATGGCTTTCCTGACTTCAGGCTATGATCCCTTTTCTTAATATTTGTAGCTTTGATTGCGCTTTACTATGATCAACTAAACTGGATGTGAGCCTTGTGATTGGTATTTCTTATGCTCTGCTATTGCTAGAATGCAATTCTTTTTACTGGTATTGGCCACAGTGAAGCATCAGCTGCTATTTCAGTAACGTTCAGTTTCCAGTAACCATTCCATAAAAGATTTCCATTTAGCTAGAATTCATTAAAGCCAATCATAATAATAGAAATTTGTAGATTTATGCAGTTTGCTTATCTTTGGAATGCTTATCCTGATTCCGGGATAATTATTAGGAAGGAAATTAATGTTTGTATTTCAAGTCATCATAGAGCAAGGATTACAAGAGATAAGCAGGCACATAATAGGGAATACCCATTGAAAGAAATGTGCTAGCACTGTTTGCCTCGTGTCCTTTAGCTCCCAGCACTGAGTGTGCTAGGCAAACAATTGGCATAGCACATTTCTTTCAATGTGTATGCCATTGTGTACCTTCCTACTCTCTTGCAATCCGTTCCTCTTCAATTTCTCCACTCTATAAGGGAAAAGGAGAATGAACCAGCACAGGACAGATTGCCTAAAATGATTGCTTCCTTACACAATATCTCCGGTTTTTGAAAGAGAAAAATGAGCCAGGCACAGAACAAAATATACTAACTGATGTAATGATAAGCACGGGATTGAGAGAAAGGTGCTGTGAAGGTTGTAAAAGCATGACTTAGTTGCAAAGTTATTTTTTCAGCAATGTTCCACAGTAATTTCTGATGATTTATTGCACAAGACAGTTGACAAGTGAGGTCTACCTGTTTTGAGAATAGATAATACAAGTAGTCCTTGACTTACAATCACAACTGGGACCAGAATTTATGTTGAGACTATTGTTAAGCCTAATTTTGTTATCTTTTCTTGGTCATGGTTAAGTGAATCAGTGCAGTTGTTAAGTGAATTACATAGTTGTTTAGCAAAACCAACTTCCCCCATTGACTCTGCTCAGTGGAAAGTACCTGGGAAAGTCACAAATAGCGATTACATGATCCAGAAATGCTGCAACCATTGTAAATATATAGCAGTTGCCAAGTGCCCACATTTTGATCATGTGACCACAAGGATGCTGCAAAGGTTGTAAATGTAAGGGGCCGGTGGCAAGTCAGTTTTTTCAGTGCCATTGTAACTTTAAGTGATTGTTATATGAATGGTTGCAAGTTGAAGACTACCATACTGGATTAGATACACAGTCCTGGTTATAAAGGAAGTAAAGATCTGCATACTTCAAATAGAGTATTTCTATGCATTGAAGCAGTGATCTGATTTTGGGGGAGCATAAAAAAAAGGATGTGAATGATTTAATGAACTGATTCATTAAGCCCAAAATACTTCTTCTAAATCATGGGCATAGTGCTATTATCAAGTAAGTCTTATAAAGGAAGTTTTACAAAATACTCCATTTTGAATATCCCAAAAGAAAATTCAAAAGTCTCAAAGTTCCTAATTGTATATCCCAATTCTTAGCAAATGTTGAAAAGTAGAGGGAAAGCTACTCTGCTCTATGGAGTAGCGAGAGCCTATATAACACCAACGAGGTATGGTTGGATTAATAGAGATGAACATTTGAGCAGTGGTTGGATCTGCAATTTGAGGCAAGCTCACTAGAAACTGGTTTTTTTTTAAAAAAACAACACACACACATTAAAATTTGTAGATGTTTGAAGTAGAATTAAACAGGATATTTTTCATCCAGTGATATTGTTGTTACAATAGAAAAGCAGCGTATTAACTACAATATTATTTAAAAATGGAAATATTAGATCCAGATATTAGATCACCTTTTTGCATACTCTCCCTTTCTGGCTGTTAATAACCCAACAACTGCAAAAGCTTTTTGACACAATTTGATATCCATTTTTAAAAACTTAAATGCACCGCATTTAACTTTATAAAACATGTATTCATGCAATCTTTTGGCAGCATATTTAAAAATAAATAGTTATTTCTTTATCATTTCTCCTTTATTCTGGAGTTAAAATTGTTCTCAAATTAAATTTCTATAGTTTGGGTTAGAAGGAATTTGGTACCTCTTTTTCTGACTAACCAATCTTAGGTTACAAAAGAGAAGGAAGACAAATTGTGCATTGTCAACCTATTTTCCCCTCTCTTCTATCCCAACCACTCCTTACCTCACTCCAATTTAAATCCTACATCAGCCTACCCACTGCATGAATCCAGTGAAGGGAATTACGACTCATGAAAGCTTATAATAAAATTGGTTAGTCACAAAGGTGCTACCAGACTCCTCCACCATAGACTAATGCAGCTCTTCTCTTATGATGTCTAAAGTTTGGATTGGTGACATAATTGCTGCAGCTTTTAGTATGCAATAGCTCTTAAGAAAATTCCATTTTCTTCTAATGAGGTTCTGTCCATTTCAAATTGTAAATTTAAGTTTTGGTTAATTAGTATTTACAGAAAAGAGAAAGAGAGCAGGAAATATTTTGCAACCAGTTTCTTTCCATTCCAGAGTTATCAGTTTGGTTTTCTGGTATTACTCCTATGCTTTTAAATGTCAATTAAGACTATTCCCTGCCTTATTTTTTCAAGCTTTTAAAAGGCATATCTATAGGGCCAATTAAAAAGGGAACATTGTTACCCTAAATTTTTTAATGTTAAATCATTGTTCACCAATTTAGGGTTTTTATTATTATTATTTATTTATTTTATTTTATTTTTATACCGCCCTTCTCCTGCGGGACTCAGGGCGGTGTACAGCCGAGATAAAACATAGCATATAAAATTTAAAAACAGTTTAAAAAACAATTAAATAATTTCGGCCCAAAATTTAAAACAACTCAATTAAAACCGAATTCAGTTAAAACTGAGAGGATGGGATCAAGCCAACCCGGCTAGATGGAATAAGTGTGTTTTCAGGGCCCGACGAAAAGTCCGGAGGTCTGATATCGTGCGTATCTCAGGGGGTTTAAGGTTTAAGAAAAAGCATGAAAGCAACTGGAAGAGTTTGTTTTATTTTTCCCTCAGATCAACAATCCCAATTTAGAGCTCCTGAACAGGCAAAATGTTTCAATTTACAGGAAAGCATAGAGAAATAATAACAACAAAACATGTTTGAAAAGAAGTGACACAAACGGTCCAATGCAGTGTGAAAAGCCTGTGCGAGTATTTTCTGAAAAATCTGTTTCGTTCAAATTGCTGCTACTACCAGTACAAACCTAACATGTTTGTCTTGCACTGTCACCAATATGAACAAGCAAAGCATATCTTACATGTGTGTGGCAGAAGCCAATCTTTAAAAAAAATTTTTTTTTGAAATTGCTTTCTAAGCACTGCTATAACAAGCTCTTTTTGAAACCCCCTGGAAGTCCAAAAAATAAAGAAGTGAAGGCCAGGAAGAGACATCTTTTCCAACATTCTCTTTACACCAAGGGAACATCCAAAGAAAAGGCAAATCATCACAAGCATAACTTTTTAGCACAACTTGCACTGCTAGATCCTTGCAGACAAATAACCATCACACCTACATGAAACAATTGTTCAGCCACCTGACTGTGCATCCCCAAATCATAGCGGTGCCATGTGTCCTGATACCCACACACCTCCTTCTCTTTGGCTACATTGCAGAAGAGGAACTCCTCAGGGCAAAGGCTGCAATGCCCTCATTCAGTGGTAGGTACGTGGTCAATGCTTCTGCTTCAGAGCTCGACAGAGGTACTTCCAAGAAGAGCCAGGACAAACAATTTGCGGGAGCAAAGCCACGCTCCTTACCCAGGCTCTGTTCCCTTATCACTCACCCTCTGCCTCCCATCCCTCAGGTGACAAAAA